TCGGCCGATAGATTACTAAATTTTCACTCAGACGTGCGTGACTGCGTGGTGAATCTCAAAAAGATGTGTTATTTGTCTGACATTAGTAGCGTCGAGAATGTGAGGAGGGTTTCAAGCAGAACTGAATTCGAGTTGGAATAAATTTGTTGTAGGTAATATATAGAAAAAATGATATTTAAATTACTGGGGAAGGGAAGCCGCGGGGAACCAAAACTGGTTATCAAGCTGCGACACCCAAGGTTCTAACACCTAGTTTGACAGATCGGGGAGAAGAGTTTCAACGAATAGATACCATATAAATTTTACTAAATAGCTAACTAACTGCAATTGTTATATATTATTACTAGAAATTACCGTGCATTAAATGTGCCATAATAGCAGCGAATAACGGGGGATTTCCCGTTTGCATAGACGTAGCTGTAGCGAAATGTTGTTCTGTAGAATAACTGGGGAATTTTGAAGGTGACCTGGCCATCAACATGGTTGTGATATGAAGCGATGTAGCAATGGACACCGATCAGGTAAATAAATAAAGTGAAATTAGCACGCTGGATGTTGAAATAAATATTCACCATTGGTGTCCTGACGCGTTATCTCAGTACCGGTACCGTACTGCTTGTAATCTAACAAGAGATGCCCAGAAGCGATACTTCAATTATGTCGGAGAACAGTCTTATTGCCCGAACTAGATTTAGAAATCTGAAAAAAAAAATGTTTGGAAAATGACGGTCTGAGAGACATGTACTGTGCCCCTATGAGGGAAAATGTCAGACGTGATTGGGTGCGAAAACAGACTGATAAAGAACGTGATACTTTGGGTCTTCGAACTTGGTATCTTCCTCATCATGGAGTTAAGAATCCAAATAAACCTTGCAAGATAGACGCCGCGGCTACATATTGTGGAATCAGTTCCAATAATCAGATATATTCGGGACCTGATCTTGTTAAGAATCTGATTAGAGTTTAATTGCGCTTCAGAAAAAGACCGATTGCATTGGATGCTGATCTTGAAGTCATGTATCACAGGGTGCGACTACCCCAGTCTGACACGAATTCAGTTAGATATTTCTCGCAAGAAAATCTGAGATCGACAACCCCGCCTGATGTATGTCATCAATCTTTAGTGAGAATATTTGATGCGGTTGACCTGCTATACGTTGCAAACACCGCGCTTGACATTTCAATAAAAGCGGTAAAAAAGTAGAAACGGTTTTTAGGGATTGTTACGTGGACGATTTGCTTCCATCAAATCGTAATGGTGACTCCGCTTTTCTGACGCTCAAGAAGTTTCTAATATGTTAGCAAGCAAGGGTTTTCGATTGACAAAATGGCTTTCAAATTTCAAAACATTATTGTCGAAATTTAACACAGGGGATTGTCGTAATCCTGACGTTGAATCAGATTTCGATTATGTTCCCATTTCTAGGGCGCTGGGACTTCATTGGAACACTAATGACGACGATTTCTACATGGTTTACAATTCGTTGACAAAATCTGTGACGAAAAGAGGAGCGCTAAGCGCGGTCGCATCAGTTTTTGATTCTTTCGACATTTTAGCCCCTATTATTTTAACTGCGAAACTTTTTATTCGGCAGTGCTGGAAAGATGACTTGAAATGGACGAAAACTTAGATGACCTCAGAAAGAATGCTCGGGGAGAGTGCACCGAATCATTGAAACAATTGACTAATTTCCATGTGCCTACACAATATTTAGGAGCCTGAAAGCCGCTATTTATAAGATTTGCGATGCGTCTGAACAAGCTTACGTCGCAGTGGCTCACTTGCGTGCCAAGAAATGCCAGTGTGTGAATTATAGTTTGTTGACGGCCAAATCAATTGTTTCTCCGATGAAATATATGTTCGTTCTCAAATTAAGCTGCAAAGTGCTTTATTAGCCGCGTCCGATATTAGTCGTCCTTTAACCTCTATTAGCCACAACGTACGTGATCCAGCTCCCTTCACGCCCAAATACATCTTTGAATCAACAGCGCATCAGAGAAGATCGAGACAAACCGAAGCAATTCAAATCGCCTCTGGAAGCGCTGGCGACGAAAGTATCTATCAATGCTGATGACTCGAACTCGATTTTTGTTGTGTTATGCAACGTGACCTCTGCTCATGTCCAATCGCTGAGACTGTTTTCTGCATATCTAGTTTGTTTGACGTCTATATAACATTTGGTAAAGCAAATATAACACGGAATCATATCTGTCAAGAACCTGATTATGATATTGATCGGAGAACTTTCCATATTTCTCCTAAAGGCTGAGATAATACACATACAGACTCGTGAAAAGATCATGATTCGGGGCCGAACGGCACGCCGGATTTTAGCTCTGCTTGAAATTTCAATCGAAGTTCTCTCGGTCTATTTCTCTAAAAACTTAGACAACACCAATAAAAAATGGTACTCCCAAAATATGTGAACCAAGATGGCGGACTTCGGAACGGAGTATGTGTACCAGGCAGTGGCGTAGCCAGGGGGGTGGTTTTGCGGGTTGGGAATACCTTAAAATGCTTAGAACGTGATTCAGAGATAAAACACGCTACACTTTCCTTTTTTTAAACTCGGTAATCACTTGACCAAGTAATTTCTATTCCTCCAAAGTCAGATGGGCAACGATTATATACCCCACAGCTGAATAATAGTTCTGCTGGCGTCTCACGTTTTAATAAAATATACCGCGCTATATTATTATTAAGCTTTTTCCCTGACATATAGCAGAGCTCTAGCGATTTATTTATTTTGTCCGTGCGTGAATTTTGTTCAAGTGAATGAAAAAAGTGATAGGTTCAAATGATCAAATATAATGAATTTCCAGACGATTTGGATATTTGATTTGTTTTGGACGTCAGAATTAGTTGCCACACGGGTAGAAGCCAGGCAAGAATGATATTCGGAAGAAGCACTTTCCAGTTATTTCGGAAAACCACGGACCTCAAGTTCAAGTCGAGTCAATCACTGTAACGGGTCTTATTGGTGATCAGTCGCGTCCCAGTTATTTCATTCAGGCAACTCGAGTCATTTCAGGTCATTGATAAATCGTCATTCGAGCCTTCACAGCGCTGCTACTTTTATGTTGCAATATTTGACAAAAGCTTTACTGTTAAAATATATTTCAGTGGAAGGGTTATTCACCGATTTTAGATGGGGAAATCACTTTCCCTAGCGATACATGCACAAATGCTGTTAGTTTTAGCCCACTTTTCAAACGAATTTTATTTCCTAATATAATAAAACATGTTCAACTGGTATAAAGTTAACAATACATTTTTCTGTCTATGTCTTAGATGCACCATATATCCCAGCACACTTCATAGAAAACTCGATGTATCGTTTCATTGCTTTCTTCTCATGATTTCAAAATGTTTTTGATTGTTATGCAAAACTCTGGGAGAAAATTGGAAGTGAAAAAATAAAATCAGGTCACTGAATGGTAGAATTTGAATCAAAGAATTTCATGTCTGCATATAACCTGCCATGGTCAACCTCATTATGGCGCTGAGTAATACCGCATCAATTCTTTATTTCTGTAAAACAATGGACAATGCATCTGGTATTTTAAGTCAAAAATTGATTGTCTGTGTGTTCGAGTCAAAATTTTATCAGATCGAAGTTCCTATCCTAAATTTCTATTCCACAATACGCCATGCTCGCGTCTTACTACTAAAAATTCGGTCTTATTTAGACAATTTGAATAGAACGACCTTTAAATTCCAATTCTTCTATTAAATTAATTTCTTAGGTGTCTGAGAAATCATTTTCAAAATACATCGATAACGTTTTGCAAGACATTTTTATTCACACAAAATAAAAAATAATATTCAACATTATAATTTTAAATTATTCATCATGAACATCATTTTTTTATTTCAGTTCCTGAAAAATAATTTGAACTTTTACTAGCATTAAATTTTTCCGAAAAAATGATTAGAATCACAAACACACCTAACATATAAAATACCAGAGCAATGCTAATGAAAAAAATGTATATAACAATAATAATAATATTTCAGTCAAGCAAAGCTGTGAAAGCGGGTATCCTCAAACCAGCCCTTACAATATTGTTTTTAATCGAGAGATGACCATCTGGTTTGTTTCAAGTTGGTAAAGGGGTTTAAGATCAAAAACAAAAATAATAAAGAAAAGTAATAAAAAAATCTAGCAAATTATGTTTATATAGAACAAATCTGTACTTTTGCGCGGAGATATCGATTGTCGGGATTGTAGATTTTCAAAGTTCAAATTTCTTTATAATTATTTATACGGACCGATCGTACCTGTCCATTGGAAAAAGTTTGCATTTACGAATAGTTTTATTATCAAAATTAGATTTTCAAAAGTCGATTGGGAATTTCATTTGACTTCACAGCCTTACCAAAATAAATATCAATAACAAATATAAGACGATGTCATTTTATAATTATTAGAACTTGAAATTTTCAAATATCTAGAAGTAACAGATACGAAGCCGGTATTTGGAAAATTTCAAACATTTTTGTAATTTACTGAAATTTCCTGAACATGGAATATATATTTAAATAAACAAAATCGCCAACATTTCAAAATTATTTACAATCACTCAGAAATAAATCGGGTTTAAAATATAAATTCAAACATCTACTGAATATAATTAATTAAGAAATAAAAAATAGTTCGTTTGGTGGAAATCTAACAGTGCATGCAGTTTTATTAAAATTCTTACCCAAGAAAAGCCCGACAGAAAGTCAATTTGAAAAAGTGAGCATTAAATCGCATCGGTTCAACATGTAGTCTTAAACTTTAATTTAAGTGGAATTGATTGTGTGAAGTAAATATGAAAACATAGTCAACGATTCATCCGCTCGTCTCTATTCAATATAATTTCAAACCTTATTCCAAACGTCATGCAAACAAATGGAATGCTAGTGATTGCCTGTACAGAGTCTTTTTCAGAGTAAGGATTTGAAACACCTCTGACTTTACGAAAACTCCATCATTGTGGTCCTCAAAAAGCACATAAAGGTATCGGTAAATTGACCGTTTCGAACACGTTATTAATAGTAATTCTCACAACCCGTCTGTAGACTATATAAGGGGTTATATTCGAGAATATAAGAGCATAGGCTTGTTCAACTGTGGAAATAGTAATTTGAAGTTTCAATTAGGCTAATAGGTCAAATAACAATAACTCTCAAACTCAAGTAATTCTACATTTTCTTTTGTTTATCAATTAGTCAATGGACAGAGTTATGATTCATTTTCACAGATGGCTCCGTTAAATTTGGTGGAAGATTTCTCATTGTAAATTCCTTGATAGCTGTCCTGCGGGTATCGACTGACACGAACAACAACAGTTGTGAGCGATGCATCGAAATGCGGGGTATCAGGAAACCAAACCTCAGTTGGCAGAGATATAGTTTGGCCCGTTGTTGAATATAGCTGACCGTTCTGCCGATATAAAAAAAACACATCTTGAGAAATATACCAAATGGCGGTTTAAATTATAGTTGAGTATGTTTGAACCAGTACTTACAGTACTGGATAACATGAATCAGTCTCAACCTACCTCGTAAGTCATTCCCGTACGAACCCAAATGTATGTATGACCATCAGGAATCATTGGTCGTAAATAATCTCGAAGCAGGTTGTAGTGTGTGACGTTATAAATGTTAGCCAGTCTGTTCCCGCAAAGAGATTCAGCATCGCTTGATGTGACGTCCCACATCTCATAAACGATCGCTCGGAAACACTTGGAATTGTAAACGACAGCACAAATTTCATCTACTGAAAACCAAATGAAAGCCAGTCAAATATGGAGTAAGATATTTAGAACACAATGAATAAAGCGAACTATTTATTATTATTTACTACTGTCTGCACAGCAGCCCGGTATGGAGAAAACCCATGCAAATGGGTTCATCCCTATTTCTAACCTACTGTCTATACCATGGCTACTCAACTGGCGGACCGCGGTCCGAATCCGGACCTTTCGAGTATTGGATTTGGACCGCACCTAATTATTTATTTTGGATCATTAGCCCCATTTTTTGAATTTCCCATTATAAAATGACTTTCATAGTTTTGATTATATACGAAAAGAACTATAACACCATAATAAACAATTCTAATTTGCTACTAATCATTAGTCGGTCGAGGAAGTGCTCGTTTAAGGATGCCGAAATATCATTTCTGGAAAGACCGGACCCAAATAATTTTGAAGTTTTGTTTGCGGACCTTTGATAAAAATAGTTGAGTAGCCCTGGTCTATACGACGGCCAAATAGCCCACTATGGAAGCGACCATTCAATGGCGGTTTTGATCATATATCCATTCCTATTCCTAATCTAGTGTCTATAAGGCAGCCCAGTAACCCTCTATGGATGAGAACATAAAAATACAACAACAAAAAAAGCATTATAAATAAAAAAAAGTATTAAGCAAGGTAAGTTATTCTCGGTTCACTAACATACAAATGGACGCAATATGAAAATATTCCGATTTTTTTCTCTATATAGTCTTTACTGCAATAACTATTACTATTGTTTAAAAGGCCTATTATCTATTCGCATGGTATACCAAAAGGTTTCAAACCGTGTGACATGGTAGTTACTTTGACATTTATTCCCTCTTGTATTTGATGAAGCGCACTTTCCATCTGATTAACTTTCTCCGTTAAAGCTGTGAAAAATAGGTTGAAACAAATATAATTTGAGCCATCATTTTTTCATCTCGTATGCAGTGAATTTTACTGTTTATATTATATTCCCTCTTAGTCCCGCTAAGAGTTATAATTTAAATTTTACTAAAAAAAACGTTGGCTTCCTGTTTCCAAACCGTTTGGCAAATAAGAAAACATTATATTCTGGCCACGAACCTTCCAAAGTCTTCTCTTCTTCTTTTGTGCACTGTCCCTTCTGAAAAGAACAAAAGAGAAATGTCTAACTCTCTTAATGACGTTTTTAATACTTAAGTTTGGCTTCATAGTGCCAACAAATGTCGTTTTTTTTTCATTTTACATGATGCCACACGAACGTACTTAAAATCTATTCTCCTTACCCTACGTCGCCCACTTGCGGTTTGATGGGAAGCCTGGCGATGGGCGCCTTTAATTGACGTATTTTTGATCGCCTTCGAGTCGTTTATTATACATTTTTAGCAATATTTGTAAAAATTCACTATTTTTGACAACAAAAACATAAAGTTCAGATAGTGCGGAAAAAATCATCATACATGAACCTAAAACATAGTTTTTTATAGGGGATTGTAATCCCAAAAACGTAGGAATAAATTATAGGCAGCTGGCTAATACAAGAAACCAGGCGATACTTCATAAGTTGGTTTTAGAAAAGCTGAAAATCACCCCCAAAATACACTGACTTTACTTTTTCATAACCTAGTTGAAAGGCGCAATAACGCACAAAACAAAAGTCGTATTTGTGTGACGTAAATATTTATCATACGGAAGCCAGACACCAGACACGTGACCAAACAGTTGTTCAGTCACAACCGTTGGGTGCCAACGGTAGAGTACTCTACCATGGGCGCATTTGGATAGGAAAGATGGGGTAGAGTACGCTACCCTGAGAAATCTTCAAATATATGAACATGAAGGTCCCACATCGGTACAGTAAGGTATTAGCGGAGCACGCAATTTGCTTCAAAACAAACGTTACTGGATAAAGTCATCCCAGGAATTATTTGAAGTTGTTAATTTTTGATAAAATGTCGGGTTCCATAGTATTAAACGAATATTTCAATTTTTTAGTATTTAATGTTGGGAGTCACTAAAGCGTTTCGACTTTTTTGTGTGTTACTCCTTAGTCATCAAAAATTTTATAGTTTCCATTTTATAAATACTACTATCAATATGTAACTACTACTAAAGTTCTCACCGTATTGACGTCACTCCAAATAGGTTTCCCGTCGCAAACCATAGGCTTCCAGCATTTCTCACCTAATGAGGAAAATAAAAATTTGAAAATTTAGAGAATTGTTTTATTCAAAACAAATTTATAAAATTAAATAAAAATCAGGTTACTCAGCTATTTTATTATAACGAGACTAATTCTGTTATTTATTCGCTAATTGCGTGCAGCTGTGACTAATTGTCGCAAATTTATGGGCGATTTTTCTTTTCTGAACAAAACGATTCGAGAATATATTACAATACCAAAAATTTAGTTTCGAAAGCCCAAACATTTCAAATGAGATGATCTTCTCATCAGAGATTTTTAAACCAAAGCGATGTATCGTATTGAATAAGAACAATCATTTATTTTTGTATGTTGTTATACCCAGGTTTGCCATATCATTACACCGCCATACTGGTCTCCTCTACGCAGGAATAAATAACGAGACTAATTCTGTTATTTATTCGCTTATTGCGGGCAGCTATGACTAATTGCAGCTAATCTTTGGGCAATTTTTTCTTTCCTGAACGTAACGATTCGAGAGTATATTACAATACCAAAAATGGAATAAATAACGAGAATAATTCTGTTATTTATTCGCTCATTGCGTGCAGCTATGACTAATTGCCGCTAATCTATGGGCGATTTTTTCTTTTCTGAACATAACGATTCGAGATTATATTACAATACCAAAAATGGAATAAATAACGAGACTAATTCTGTTATTTATTCGCTTATTGCGTGCAGCTATGACTAAATGCTAATAATCTATAGGCGATTTTTTTCTTTTCTGAACATAACGATTCGAGAGTATATTACAATATCAAAAATGGAATAAATAACGAGACTAATTCTGTTATTTGTTCGCTTATCGCGTGCAGCTATGACTAATTGCCGCTAATCTATGGGCGATTTTTTTCTTTTCTGAACATAACGATTCGAGAGATTTTTAAACCAAAGCGTTGTATCGTATTGAATAGGAACAATCATTTATTTTTGTATGTCGTTATACCGAGGTTTGTCATACCATTACCCCGCCATACTGGTCTCCTCTACGCCGGAATAAATAACTATCCCCGCTCATACAAATATGTAATCTGAGGAGAAAAAACGAGTTTTCAATTTTGCGATAAAATTGTTTATTATTGCGAGTAAGTTGAGTCGTCTATATAAGCTGAAGCGTGGATTTACTGGTAATATTATTATTGAATACTAACATTCGTTGAATCGGACAAATTAAGCGTTTGTCGTTGCGGACAAATAAAGTGATTTGAAAAAATATGGCAATTTGTAAAATAATGTTACCAATCTACTGTCACATTTGAACACTTTTCCTCTTCTATACTGGGGTGAGTACAGAACCATCATGCCGCTTTCAAAATCATTTTTGAATTTCGGTTTTAAATTTGTGAACACTTATCATTTAAACTAGTTCTCAATAATACAAAAAAAAAACTGATTATCAAAAATTTTCGGAAGAAATTTGAAAACTCAATTCATTGTTGCTTTCGTAAAATCAGAAATTATAATAGCAGATAAAACAACAATCAACGCTTCCACTATGAAACTTGTAGCACTAAAATTTTATTCACGAAAAATTATTCAATGAGCAGCTTCATTTATAACAGCTCAATTATCTTTCATGATTTACTGTGGCAAAACTGCCACGTAAAGTAATACCAACTAGTGATCAAATAACCAAAGCAAAATTTATTATATTACCCTTGGGGGCGAAACAATATAAACCGGGAAAGCAAAAAAACTCAACAGTGCATGCACATTAATACTGACCTTTAATCAATGGAAATGCCCCTATAAACATAAGAAGAATGCATTGAATCGGAATCTTCATTTTTTGCCCAGAATTCGTCCACTTTGCTTTGGTGCCGAAGTCGATTCCCGAACAGTGTAGGTTAGAATGAAGTCTCAATTCATTTGCATAAGAATATATCCTGTGCAAGCTCTCATTACTCTAAAGCGGAAAGAGAAATAGTTTATCTCATTTAACTTTTGGGATACGTGTTGCGTCACAAAAAGAGAGTTAGGTTTTTCTATCTTTATGAAACATCGCGACGATGCTACTACCCACGAGAGTAATAATTGGCGAAATTCTGATACATTTTGCGCAATATGGCATATGAATCATATTATAGAAAAAAGCAGGTCAAAACATGTCAACCTACTCCAATTGGCTTTATTAAGCCAATAGATAAATTAAATGAGAATACTGCACGAACTAAATTTATTCACACTTTAGTAATCTAAATCTAGTTTTCGTTTTGCGACAATCGCAAATAGAAAATGTCCGAACGCCGCAAATCTACTGAAAGTATGCACGACGAGCCATCGATATTTTCAAAACTTATGGTTCCTCGAATCAATATGGATTTGATAGAAATATTGTTACCCTAGAAGTATGTGATCCAAGATGGCGGACATCGGAACTGGGTATGTTTGCCATGTTAGGGTTAGGCCATAATTTTAGGTACAAATGCTACGGGAGTTACTTGGCTAGTCCCTGAACTCGTAATATAACTAAATTAAGAAAAATTAAAAAAAAAATATGGCCTAACCCTAACCTGGTACACATACTACATTCCGTCATCCGCCATCTTGATTCACACACTTCGGGCGAACCAAAATATTTGGGGGATAAATGTGATCAACTGAAAAAATAAAAGTTGATAACAACTGCTAAGAAGATATATTTGGCACAGAGATGAACGAATTAGTGTGGATATTAAATTCGATAACAACAGACAAAAGCTAGTTCGATTTTCGATTATCTTTTGCAATTCGATTTCATTTGCACTGGTCACAATACAAAAAAATGGTGCCGGGGGTCAAGCTAGTTTAAAACGGCAAAAATATCAAACGGCTATTTCCTATTTCCTAAGTTTTCTCAAACTGGGTCGTGGGGAACCGTGATGACTCCACAGGGGAACCACAACGATAGTCTGAAACATATTTATTTAAGTGCATATACACTGTCTTAAAGACATTCGTAAACGAGATAAACAATAAAGAGAAATAGTCCATCTCTTACAAATTTTAAGATATGTATTGCGTCACCAAAAGAAAGTTTGGTTTTCCTAACTTTGTGAAACATTGCAACGATGTCACTACCACGCCCACGAAAATATTTGGTGAAATTCTGATATATTTTCCTCAACATGCCAGTTTATTTAAAAAATATACGATTGCTGCAGAACTATACTAAATCTATGCACGACGAGCCACCGATCGTATCAAAACTTTTGGTACCTTGAATCAATATGGTATTGGTAGAAATATTGGTACTCCCGAAGTATGTGAACCAAAATGACGGACACCGGAACGTATGTATGTGTACCAGGTTAGGGTTAGGCCATAATGTTAGGTACAAATACTACGGGAGTCACTTGGCTAGCTCGTAATAGAACTAAATTAAGGAAAATTGGAATAAAACTATTGCCTAACCCTAACCTGGTACACATACTACATTCCGTCGTCCGCCATCTTGGTTCACACACTTCGGGAGAACCAAAATATTTGGGGGATAAATGTGATCAATTGAAAAAATAAAAGTTGATAACAACTGCTAAGAAGATATATTTGGCACAGAGATGAACGAATTAGTGTGGATATTAAATTCGATAACAACAGACAAAAGCTAGTTCGATTTTCGATTATCTTTTGCAATTCGATTTCATTTGCACTGGTCACAATACAAAAAAATGGTGCCGGGGGTCAAGCTAGTTTAAAACGGCAAAAATATCAAACGGCCATTTCCTGATATAAGTCAAACAAGTTTAAAGGTTCAAAAATTGTATACGTATAATGATTATACTCATTGTATAATCAGAAAACAAAAATGGTTGTTTAAAACAAGTTTTCTCAAACTGGGTCGTGGGGATCCGTGATGACGGCACAGGGGAACCGCAACGATAGTCGGAAACATATCTATTTAGTGCATATACTTTGTCACACAAACATTCGTAAACGAGATAAACGATACAGAAAAATAGTCCATCTCTTACAAATTTTAGGATAGGTATTGCGTCACTAAAAGAAAGTTTGGTTTTTCTAACTTTGTGAAACATCGCAACGATGTCACTACCACGCCCACGAAAATATTTGGCGAAATTCTGATATATTTTCCTCGACATGCCATATTTATTCAAAAATATCCGATTGCTGCAAAACTATACTGAATCTATGCACGACGAGCCACCGATCGTATCAAAACTTTTGGTACCTTGAATCAATATGGTATTGGTAGAAATATTGGTACTCCCGAAGTATGTAAACCAAAATGACGGATACCGGAACGTATGTATGTGTGCGTATGTGTACCATGTTAGGGTTAGGCCATAATGTTAAGTACACATACTACGAGAGTCACTTGGCTAGCTCGTAATAGAACTAAATTAAGGAGAATTGGAATAAAACTATGGCCTAACCCTAACTTGGTACAAATACTACATTTCGTCGTCCGCCATCTTGGTTCACACACTTCGGGAGTACCAAAATATTTGGGGGATAAATGTGATCAACTGAAAAAATAAAGTTGATAACAACTGCTAAGGAGATATATTTGGCACAGAGATGAACGAATTAGTGTGGATATTAAATTCGATAACAACAGATAAAAGCTAGTTCGATTTTTGATTATCTTTTGCAATTCGATTTCATTTGCACTGGTCACAATACAAATAAGGAGGTTAAGCTAGTTTAAAACGCCATAAATATCAAACGGCCATTTTCTGAAAAAAGTCAAACAAGTTTAAAGGTTCAAAAAAAAGCTGACCAGGTCAAAATAGTGTTTATCTCGTTACTTTTTGTTGAATCAGAAAACAAAAATAGTTGTTTAAAACAAGTTTTCTCAACCTGGGTCGTGGGGATTCGTGATGACTGCACAGGGTAACCGCAACGTTAGTCTGAGACATATTTTAGTGCATTTACACTGTCACACGGACATTCGTAAACGAGATAAACGATAAAGAGAAATAGTCCATCTCTTACAAATTTCACGATACGTATTGCGTCCCCAAAAGAAAGTTTGGTTTTTCTAACTTTGTGAAACATCCCAACGATGTCACTACCTCGCCCACGAAAATATTTGGTGAAAT